AAAGACATTTGTGAAGGGAACATTCTATAAACCTTAAAATGCTACATAAAGACATTATTATAGATTTATAACACATTTAGTGAAAAGTATTGGGTCTCATTTTTCCTACCAGAATTCCACATGCAACGAGGATATACGTTAGTTGATGCTTTATTTGCAGGAAATATTCCATTGGTTCTCTCCAAACACTAATCACCTCACTTTCTAACATAATGTTCAAGCATTTTACAAGTAAATATGTTTTATTTATATTAGCAAAACCAGTTTGAGATTATGAAAAAGCGTCATCCTTACAATTAAATCAGGTCTTTAAGTAAAACTTCATTTTGACTAGGATGGACCAGTTACTGTCAAACTGAAATGCTGGATTGTAAAGCTCCATCTCAAACATCAGTTGAACTAGATATTTTGAGATGCTTGGGCTTAAGGAGAAAGAGATAATTAGTACGAGTTATTCTTTTGTCTTCAAAAATACACTACGGGATATACTACAGTATTCACAGGGGAAAAAGCAGTCTCATAATTCCTTAAGAGTAAGGTTTGTTTTACCAATTGAATTTTTATTCCAAGAACTTAGTATAGTGCCTGACACATAGTAAGTGCTTAATAAATGCTAATTAATTGACTGAATAAATGTATTGTTTAATGATCTGTTCTCTTATATAGAAAAATTATTTTAAAAACTGAAAGGATCTTAGAAGTTATCTACACTGTTTATTTTTACAAGGAAGAAGTAAGGAACAAGCATTTATTAAGCACCTTGTATGTGCCAAGCACTGTGCTAAGTACTTTACAAATATTTTCTTATTCAATACTAACAACAACCCTGGAAGGTAAGTGCTATTATTATCTCCATTTTTCTTATTTTTGCTTTTGTTTTTTACAGTTGAGAAAACTGAAATAGACAGACTTTACATACCCTGTCCAAGATCTTATATCTTGTAAGTATTTGGGACCAGATTTGAACTCAAATCTTCCTGACTTTAAATCTAGTGCCTTATTTACTGTGCCAACTACTTGAGGAAAACATGAGACCTGGAACAAGTAAGTGAAAAGGGGGGGAATGGTGGAACCAGTTGAGATATTTAATTTCTTCCATTTAGGACTCTGGTTTTCTGGGTATTTGGTTACAATGATACATTTAACAAGTTCAAGATGATTTCTGAGTGCTATTATTTGAAAAAGAGGTGTTTCAAAAGAGTTCAAAAAGACTCTTAAAGATGGCGTCACCATCTCTAATTGAGGAAGCTGTGAACATCAATGAGAATGCTTTTAAGCTGAGCTCTACAGTGACCACTGCAGAGCCTAGGTGCATTCCCGATAATGGCAAGCAGCACTTTCTGGGCAAATATTTTGAGGGTTTTTTTTTTTTAAGCCAATTCTCCGTACTGCTCAGATGAAACATGAATAGATGGCACATCAAACCAAAAGTCTGTGCTCAGCATCAAATTCCAAAGCAAGTTCAATCTGTAGAGATTGGACCATTTAAAGAAACTGTCTGCAGTTATTTCTAAAAATAAGACAAGGCCCTAAACTCTTGCAACATAATGTCTCAGAAAAAAAAAAATACAGCATTTCAGCACATTCGTTGCATGCTTTTAACCAGACAACTAGATTTGGTTGTAGCGGCAGAAAACTCTAGTCAGAATAATATCTGAGATAATTTTAAAATCTTGGGTAAGTACAAGAAAGGATACTTTTAAAAGAAATCCAGCTCAAGACTCGGGGCTGATTGATTCAAGAGCCTTAACTTGCTTGGGGTAAGAAGCTTACAGGACCAGAACTAAAACCATTGAAAAACTCAGGCCTGAGAAAAGTCTTCAGAGCCTTGATCAAGGAGAAATGGAATGTTTTTGAAGCCCCAAAAGGAAGTTTAGGAGTAGGGGCTTTGTTCTTCATAGGAGGTGGGGAACCTTGTGAACAAAGAATTGTCTGGACAGCTCCTTATAATCCTGTTGCATTGATGTAGTGAAAAGAGTAAGATGCAGGAATCAGAACACCTGGGTTCTTCTAGTCCTAATTCCCCCATTAACCAGCTGGATCCACTGAGATGAATTATATTCTGAGATGGGAGTGCCAGAGTGACCAGATCTATGAAAGTCTATGACAGAGGAAGTACCTGTGCACAGAAGTGGGAAGGCAATACTCTGAGGACAGTATCCACTTCAAAGATCACGATCTCTCATTACAGAGAGAAAATCTGACTATAGAGTCTAAAAATACACCTCAAAACCCAGCAAAGAGCCCCTCCTCAGAAGAACCTCATGATAACCCCATAAAGAGAGAAAAATATTTCCAGGGCCAGGAATTGGGAATGTATCCCTTTATTCCTTGACCATGTTTTCTACACATGACTCATTCTTACTGTACTTGAAGTGTGAGCCATTCTCCCCAGGGACCTTGTGTATCTAAGAGGAGACTGCCCCTAAGTTGGGAAGGAATGTTTTATAATTAATATTCTTTCTATACCTTCTCAGTAAATATCCTTTTCTAGAAGTGAATAGAGTTCTACTGTCTGATTGAAAATAGAGGGCACAGAGTATCTCTGATAAAGGCCTCATTTCCAAAATACATAGAGAACTAGTCAAATTTATAAGAATACAACTCATTCCCCAATTGATAAATGGTCAAAGGATATGACAAGGCAGTTTTCAGATGAAGAAATTAAAGCTATCTATGGTCATATGAAAAAAATGCTCTAAATCACTATTGATTATAGAAATGCAAATTAAAACAACTCTGAGGTACTACACCACATCTATAAGATTGGTTAACATGACAAGACAGGAAAATGACAAATGTTGGAAATGTGGGAAAATTGGAACACAGGTGCATTGCTGGTGGAGTTGTGAATTGATCCAACCATTCTGGAGAGCAATTTGGAACTATGCCCAAAGGGCTATAAAACTATTCATACCCTTTGATCCAGCAATACTAATACTAGGTCTGTATCCTAAAGAGATCATAAAAATGGGAAAAGGACTCACATGTACAAAAGTATTTAGAGCAGCTCTTTTTGATGTGGCCAAGAATTGGAAATTGAGGAGATGTCCATCAATTGGAGAATGGCTGGACAAGTTGTGATATATTATTGTAATGGAATACTATTGTTCCATAAGAAACAAGGAACACATGGACTTCAGAAAAACCTGGAAAGACTTGCATGAACTGATGTTGAGTGAAGTGAGCAGAACCAAGAAAACATTGAACACAGCAACAGTGACATTGTGTGATAACCAACTTTGATAGACTTAGCTCTTCTCAGTACTGCAAGGATCTAAGACAATTCCAAAAGACTCATGATAGAAAATGCTATACACAGTCAGAGAAAGAATTATGGAGTCTGAATGCAGATCAGAGAACACTATTTTCTCTCTATTTTTTTTCTTTCTTGTGATTTTTCCTTTTGGTTCTAATTCTTCTTTACAACATGACTAATGTGGAAATATGTTTAATATGATTGTAGATGTATGGCCTATATCAGATTGCACACTGTTTTGGGGAGAGAGGAGAGGAAGGAGGGAGAGAAAATTTAAAACTCAAAATCTTATAAAGGTGAATATTGAAAACTAAAAATAAATAAATGTTAACAAAAAGAAAATGGAGGACACAAAAGAGAAAAGACCTATTTTTACAAAAATATTTATAGCAGCTCTTTTTGTGGTGGCTAAACATTGGAAATCAAAGGGATGCCTATTAATTTGGGAATGGCTAAACAAGCTGTGATATATGATTATAATGGAATATTATTATGTTATGAGAAATGACAAGTAGGATGATTTCAGAAAAATCTGGAAAGACTTACATGAACTGATGCAAAGTGAAGCTAACAAAACCAGGAGAACATTATGCATAGTAACAGCAATATTGTTATATGAACAACTGTGAATGACTTAACTGTTCTCAGCAACACAGTGATCCAAGAAAATACCAAAGGACTAATGATGAAACATACTATTAGCTTCCAAAGAAAGAACTGAGACTGTTGAAGTGCAGACTGAAGCATACTATTTTTCATTTTCTTTCATTCTTTTTTTTTAATTCAAGTCTTTCTGTACAAAATGACTAATATGGAAATGTTTTACATTATGACACATGTATAACCTATATCTGATTGCTTACTGTCTCAGGGAACAGGGAAGAGAGAGAGGGAGAAAAAAATTTGGAAAGAAATAAAATAAAACAAATCTAGAATTATGCTAATAATTGAAAATATAATAGATTCTCTCTTGTTAAATTTAACCTTACATATAAACAAGGCAGGCAACCACCCACATGGCATGATTTGAGGGGCACTGGGAATGATCTTATTCTAAAAGATCTATCCTACTTTTCCTGTCACTTTAGGAAGTTACTTCCCTCCTGGAGTTGTAATGATAAGATGAATATTTTACTCACTTTTGTGTGCCCAGGAATACTGCTTAATGAGAAGGTTGTGATAGGTTCAGGCTCTTTAACATCCCTCCCCCACCCCCATTCATGTTAGACTAGTACTTTTCTTAAAAGTTGTGAAAGCTGTCTCTAAGATTTGACTGCCCAGGGAACTGAAAGGTATAAAAAAAAACCCTCCCAGAAGGTGTCAGAGCCCTTCAGATTTGGCTGATGTCTCAGGCATGGGAATCATCATACCTTTCAGATATAGAAGAGGCAGGGCTTAACAAAATAGCCTTGTTGAAGCCTCTTTTTTTGTTGGTTATTAAAAGCGTTACCACTGTCTCATTTCATTCTAACATCAGACCAAAATTACCAGGAACCTGCCTGAGTCAGATTCAGATCATTACAAAAGTATTTCTTGGAATATGTCATCACTCAACTTCCAGGGTCATGAACACAGTACATCTATTGTAACATCTGTAACTCCGTAGGATAAAATCGTAAAATTAAATTACTCAATTAAAAACATAATGTGCTACTAAAAATTCCTTTTGGATTCTGGGTGTGGAGAATAAAAGAGTTGTCATGGTAGTAAGTAATTGGGCCATAGGTCTAACAGTACTTACCCGAAAGACCTGCTCCACTCTTGCAATGCTTTTCCCAAAGATAGTTCCAAGCTGGTCTCCAATTCCCGCCAATAAGAAGCCAAAGAGTGGAATTCCAAAGATGGCATACAAAATACAAAAGATTTTGCCTCCTTCAGTGCTTGGAGCAATATTTCCATATCCTAATGTTTTAATGAAAAAGAGAGGGAAGTGTAAGACATCAGAGAAATTAAATTAGAACAAAATAGTATTATTCTTTTTGCCCAGAGTTCTACCTTCCTCCATTATTAAGAGCTTCAGAAATGACTGATGTCATTTAAAAAGTTTAACATAACAAATAACAATACAATGTATTGTTTGTGATTTTTTAAATCAACACATAGCCTACAAGGATCTGTTTCCATTTGAGTTTGACACCACTGGTCTAGAGCAGAGGTAGGTGGTAAAATTCCCCAATATGATAGAACCAAATTAAAATGGAATTGGGAAATGTTTAACAAAATAAATCACAATACAATATAGATGATGTTCATAATTTTTCTTCCTTCTCTTATTTAACAACCCAATATTATAGGGTACTAGTTTTGGAGCCAGGAATACTCTGTTTTGGGACAATGAGCAATGTACCTCATTTCTCTTCTCCTCAGTTTCCTCCTCTGTAATTCTGGTAATTGTGAAGACTTAAATGACTTTTTTTTTTCATTGGACATTGGTATAGGGAAATTCCAATGAAAAAATACCCTCTTGCCAATATAGATTGGCACCTAATAGTAGGAAAAAGATGCCTGGAATTCAGCAACCTATATAGGACCGTAACCTACAACCAGTATGTTAAAAATGGGACTCAAACCAAGGTCTTCCTGACTCTGACTCTGTCCTTTAACCTCTATTGCCTCTCTGATAAGACTTGAGATTCAAAAGAAATAATGTATGTAAAGCATTTCACAAACCTTAAAATGTTGCATAAATGTCAGTTATTATTATATGTTATCTGTACAAACTAGAAAAGATGCATGAAGGAGCATGGTAAGCTGGTTCTAGATCTGATGAATTTGAGATTTGACTTCTTTAATTAGACTGCTTAGTGTTTTAGTAATAAAAACTTACCCATTTAAGAAATTAAAAAAAAAAACAAAAGGAAGGCCTCTATCTAGGGTTCTTAACCTTTTTTGAGTCATGGACCCTTATGACAATCTAGTGAACACCACAGACTCCTTCTCAGAATACTAATTTTAAATGCATAAAATAAAATACATAGGATTACAATGAATTTGAAATAAATTGATGTAAAGCTGTAATTGTTCCCATCCAAAATCATAGACCACCTCTTAAATCTATCCAAAGACCCAAAGTTTACATAGATTCAAAAGTTTCCTATCAATCCTACAAGTTGGGCAGCAAGGACAGTGAGGAAAATGAGTATTTTGACCCTTAAAGCAGTAAAGTGTTTGGTAAATCCCTGTTAAAAACTCAGTTACAACATATGCACTGTTTAGTAATCTTTTGTGTATAATTCCAAATACAATATACCATAAGATACTACCTCTTGAACTATAACTAGATCATAAACTCCTTGAGGGCAAGGACTGTTTTTAATTTGATACTATTTGAAAAGCATGTATAAAGTACCCAGCTATATTCAAAGTGCAAGGTACTCTGCGGGATGCAAAGATGAAGAAAACAGAGTCCTCACCCTTAAGGAACAACCTGGTAATATCGTAGAGACAGACAAGACAAGTGTCTGTTGTCTCCCCTATTAGAATCGGAGCTCCTTGAGAACAGGAACTGTTTATTTTTCTATTTATATCCTCAATGCTTAGCCCAGTGCTTTGCACATAGTAAGCTTAATAAGCTTTATTCCTTCATTCAAAAGCAAATATCTAGAATTGCAAAATAAGAAGCAGTAAGTTCAGGACTAAGGACTAAAGTGTCCTTTTAGTCTTTATATCTCTAGTGCTTCGCACAGAAACTTGCACATAGCAGACATGGTATAAACATTTACTGTTAAACTGAATAACAACTTCATTTGTAAAAAATCCTAATATGCATCTGTTTACATGGCAGGGATCAAATAAGACAATATGTATAAATAACTTAGCACAGTGCTTGGCACTTGGTAGGTGCTATATAACCCCAACTTTTCCCTCCCCCTTAGTCCCCATATTTGTGTTCTCAAGGGGTAACACTGCATATTCATTTCTATAATCAGCAGAAGTGCCATGAATGCATCATCATACTCAATTAATGTTTATTGATTTGGAATGGAATGGAGGTGAGAAGAAAAAGAAGAGGGATTTGGGATGTATAACATTTTTAGATATGTCAAACCAGTTTATTTCATTTTTGAAAAATAAAAAGGTTTAAAAATCAGAGACAGCTTGAAAGTACCATCTAATCCAATACCCCTCAATCTATAGATGGGTCCCCAGGGAGGTTAGGAGATTTGCAAAAGGTCACAAGGTAGTAAAAATCGGGGGAGCAATTTGAACCTAGAACCTTAGACTCCTGAATACTTTCCACTGTACCATGCTACTTTTTTATTGGTCCTTTACCATTTTGCAGAACAATCTAGAATTATGCCCAAAGAGTTATTAAATTACCTATACCCTTTGACCCAGCAATACCACTGCTTGTTCTGTTTCTGAAGGTAATTAGGCAAAAAAAAAAAAGAATCTATATGTTCTAAAATGTTTATAGCAGCTGTCTTTATGGTGGCAAAGAACTGGAAATTGCAAGGATGTCCATCAATTGGGGAATGGCTGAACAAGTTGTGGTATATGATTGTGATGCAATACTACTGTGCTATAAGAAATGATGAGCTCAATGGTTTTAGAAAATCATGGAAAGACTTGCATGAAATACTGAAGAGTGAAATGAGAAGAACCAAGAGAATATTTTATACAGTAACATCAATAATGTTTTAAGAATGGCTTTGAGTGAATAAGTTATTTTCACTATTATAAATACCCAAATTAATTATAAAGGACATATGAAGAGAGATGCTATCTGCATCCAAAGAAAGAACTGATAATTAGAAGTCTGTATAGAATAACTTTACATATATATATATATATATATATATATATATATGCCTATTTGTAACTAATGGTAGCCATCTCTACAGTTGGGGGAAGAAAAAAAGAAATTTACGTGATAATTTTGATATATATTTGAAAGAAATAGCAAGTTGTACACAGTAGATTTACAGTTTCATATCCTATGTATTTTATTGTACTATGTTATAGAAATGCTTGTTTTATTCTATAAATTAAGAATAAAATTTTTAAAAATAATCATTTCCATTTCTCAGTGACCCTACCACCCACCATAGAACTCTGACTTATAAAAAATAGAGTGAAGCAAAACAATTCAACATTTTGGCCGTGTCTAAAGATGTGTGTCTCGTTCCACACCTATAGTCCACTATTCTTCTGCTGAGATGCAAGAAGCATGAACCACTGTTGGTTCCCTGAAGACACTATTGGTCACTGCATTGATTTCAGTTCTGAAATCTTTCAATGTTGTTTTCTTTTATTTAATTGTGATCATCATGTAAATATTGTTCTCCATTTTGCTTACTTTGCTCTGCATCGGTTCATATATGTCTTTCCAAGTTTCTCTGAATTCTTCATGATGATATTTCTCATGGTGAAAATTTCATTAATTATTCTATTAATCCAATTAATATCTATGAAAATCTTATATTGCAGTGCTAGCCTGGGGCTGGATAGATACCAAGCATTCTTCCCCTGAATTATGCAATTATAAGCGGGAATTGTGATTTCATCACTATAGGGTCCTCCTAGTATGGTAAATCCCTCAAACCAACTCAGATCACAACCTCTCTATGATTTAGCAGCTAATTCCTAGGCAATTACCCAAGGTTAAGTGACATGCCCAAGGTCATATAGCTAACATAGTGTCAGAAATAATATTTGAACCTAGATGTTTCTGACTCTATGCTCAGCATTCTATACATTATGTAACACATCTCATCTTTCAGTAAATTGGGCTATATATTTTGGAGTGAGTTCTTAATTGATACAAACAGTTGCTTGATTGTGATCTTAGTTATTAGCATGTAAGCGTCATAGTGAAATCTGACTTTGGAAGTTTCCACTATCCCCCTCCACTCACTAATTGCTGTTTCTTCTTGCCTAGGGGTTGGCTCATTCGGCTATTTTATTTTCAGCTTTCCATTCAGAATTATTCAAACCTTCTATAACAAATTCTCTGAATTACAGTTTCTATTTCTTAAGCAGAGTTTCAAAGAGCCTTCATAATTGTTCCTTCGTTCAGTCAATTTTTTTTTCAATTTAGTTATAAGTTCTGGGCTGGATTTCTTTTCTAAATTATTTTTTAAAATATCCTTCAAAAGTATAGACTAAAAGTCTTTGGGCATTCCCTTTAAAAGGATTCTATTAAATGTAAATAATACCATTGAAAATACAATAAACACACTTACATATATATTTTTTGGCCCAGAATTAAGGTTACTCCCAGAATCATCCTGCTAATTTAAGGGAAGATTTCAGATTCCCACTGCCCTATAACTACCTGATTATTTTTGATGAATATGTATTTTTTTCAGTCTAAATATCTCTTTAAGAGACCAAGTGCAGACACAGGCAAATATATTCAAGCTTTGAACACCCTAAATGGACAGCTTAAGGGAAACAGACACATGCCACCTTCTAGGCTCTAAATGAGGATCTCCTTCACCCTCTGAATAGGGGAGTCCCAAATGAATGAAGCCTATAGGTGTTGAATATATAGAGGGAAAAGTGTTGATGTAAGGATCTGGCTTTTACTGTATTTTTGGCTTTGTAAACAACTAAGGCTTACAAATAATGCCCAGTTCAGCAAAATCTAACTTTATAGGCTTTATCTGTTGGCCAAAGACTGGTAATGAAGCTTTTTGGGCCTTGATTGTTCTTCAGGATCTGATTAACCAAAGGTAAATGATGGTGGGGGAGGGGGGCAGATGGGCTTGCTTGTGGCCCTGGGGCCCAGAATGATAAGTACATTAAAAATAATTCTTTCTACTTTCTAAAAGTTTAAATTTCACCTCCTAAGTTAGATCCTATATGTCAAAAGAGATGATAATCTGTTTATAATACATTTTATAAAGAATAAGGAGGCACTTAAAAATGTTTTTGCTTGGTGGTTAATTCTAGCTAAT